CCAGACCTGGTGGTGCACACCTGCAATCCCTGCACTCAGCAGACATGTGCACATTCGTCAGGGCCAACCTGGGTTACACATTGAGATTCCCATCATTAAGAAAAAAGTTTTGATTCTGGAATCTTTAACACTCGAAACAAGATAAGCTAAATGGTCTCTCAAAACCCTTTCACCTTAGAAGCCAATTGATGCGAGTGCTCTAACAGTTAGGAATGTCAGACTATGGACATGGGGCAGAAAACAGCAACTACAAAGGTCTACCAAAAATAAGCTTTGATTTCAAGGAGGAGGAGGAAGAGTGTTCCTCTCAGGGGACCCTTGCCAGTTTGCGTTGTTAAAGCCACACCTTGACTTCTGCAAGCACCCAGCGATAAAGCAAACTTGTACTTTTCATACAAGTAGAGTTCACATACTAGTTTCCAAGTGATTGTGTCTGAGAGGATGTTCAAAGGCAATTAATTAGACCTTTGATCCCTGAGTCCAAATAATTAAAATTCCATAACTTGCTAAATATAAACTTAAGATTCCATGATGAAGAAAAATCAGTATTTTAGTCATTACAAAGCAAGTTGGCAGAGGAAGAATCAGATAGATCCCTGGCAGCACGACAGGTCACAGCTAGTTCCCTCCCGATTGTGTCACTGGAAATTAGGGCTCATTGTCTAAGCTATTTATAAACATGCCAAAGTGTGGCCATGTTTAGAAGCAGCGATTTTTCTCATAGCCATGGCTCTCTGGGCTGTGCAGACTGATAAACACCAATGCCCTTGTTTAGAGTTGTCTGTTGTTTAAACAATGTGGTTTCGTCACACTACCACCTCGGTCTTGGTCTTTTCTAGTGGCGTAGCCTTAAAGGCATTCTTATTTGTAGGTATTTCAAATGGCCTTTGTTCATTTCACCTAAATTTCATTTTAATTCCAGCTGTGGCCCTTGTAACCAGAATTGGAATGTGTTAATCAAGTCTAAGGTATTAATTATTAGAACTGCCTTAGACATGGTGGTCTTCCCATTTTGTTCCAACAAAGTCAAACTGAATTTCGACATAACCACAAAGAGCTCAACAGATGGAGATGGCAAAATGTGACCTTTCAGATAGGTTCTTCTCAGGCTTCAGGAGTGTATGAACCATCGGACGCTGCTAAAATGCAGACTTCCAAGGGTTTAGCAGGCATCTAGCCTGCTGCCTTTGCTAGTCACGAAACAGCCACATATGAAGGCTGCCATCCACAGAAACAACAATAGAATTATCATGACATGATTCTAATATACCCAAAAGTCTCAGTTCACCTCAGTAAATTCTCAGGGGTACACTTCCTATTCCCAGGAAAAAGTCATTTTTCGGCCTGTGCTCTGTGGGTAGGGCTGGGTGGATAATGTCCAAGGATCCACTCAGGGCGCAATCATCTTACACCCTCAAAGTCAAGTCAATAGCTACTTGCAAAATGGACAAGGGACAGCCTGGAAAACCACCTTACACAATATGGAGTAGTTATAAAGGGAGATCTCGAGGACTGGATGACCTAAGACCATGGATACCAACTGCGATGGCTAATCTTGGCTGTCAAACACTTGAAGAGAAAACTTAATCTGAGCATGGCCATGGGGCATTTTTCTTGATTGCTAATTGCTGCAGGAGGGCTCAGCTCTCTGTGAATGGTGTCAACCCTGGGCAGATGAGCTTGGGCCCTATAGGAAAGTTAGCTGAATGAGAGTCTGAGAGGGGCCAGTGACCAACTTCAAGCTCTTTGCATTGAGTTCCTGCCTGACTTCCCTTGATGATGGACTATAACCTATAGGATAAAAATAAACCCCTTCCTCCTCAATATGCTCTCAATTGTGATATTTATCAGAGCAACAGACTGCAAACTAGACTACCATCATGGTCACCTAGCTGTCCACAAGATGGGCAGTCATCCCAGCTCACAAGCTCCTGAATGAAGAGGCTCGGACAGATGACAACTAGCATTGGTCATATAAAAGGCGTCTGTTCAATCGAAGGTCACCATCACCAGACCTTGGAGGCTGAGTGTCCAAGGTGGAGTCTACAATATGACTTTATCACCTCAGTCCAACCATGTTCTTATTGATGAATATTCAAGCCCTCTCATTATTTTTCACTATTCTAAAATTATGGAAAGATCCCGGGCCACAGTGGAATATTCTGTCCATTTATGTGGGTATTTCTGTAGGATAAATTATCAGAAAAAGAAATGTTGAACTAGATGAAAGGTTGTTATGCTCTTTCTGTATTATATAATGCCTCCACTTCTGACATTCCAATGTCGAGTCTCTGAAGACCTTCCAAAGGCAATTCTAAAAGAATTCAACATTATGCCAGTAATTCTACCAGGTTCTTGGCCTGATGTTTTATAGATTAATTTATGAGCTATGAGATTAAAAAAAATAGAAAAACCTCTTTTTTGGAGATCCATGTAATGTAAGGTGGACGACAGTTCATGTCAGCTTCTGCCAAAAACGGTTAAGGAAAAGTATTTGAAAAAGAAAGAAAATGGGGTTTCTGACCACATGTCAAAGTGTGTTATAATTTCATCTGCTAAGAAGGCTCGTGCTTTCTTGACACAGACCAGGAGCCTCCCTCCACGGGTGCTAGCCACCCTCTCCGAGAGTTTTTAAAGTTCCCACTGTCAGCCATTTCCTGAACTTAGCATCAACACTGCAGACGTCTCCAGCCTAGGTGTGACTGTGGGTCTATGGTTCCATGGAGCTGAGCTAGCTTAATGTATACCTTAGCTACTGTCATCCTTAGTAACTAGGAAATTCCAAAAGGTCAGAGACTGGTGCTATGTCTGTTCCTAACACCATTATACCATTTTATATTGAGTATCTATCTAAGCAACCAGCTTACAGTTAAAGACGAAGGGGTGGATGGGAGAGGGTGAGAGAACGACATACACACACACACACACACACACACACACACACACACAGAAAGAGACAGAGAGACAGAGAGACAGAGAGACAGAGAGACAGAGAGAGACAGAGACAGGACTAGGAAAGAAAAATAATTAGAATCAAAATCTCATGTGGTAGTTTCTCCCAGAACTAAGTTATTATAGAAAAGTAAGCACACATGTGAACATTATGCCTTCAAGGCCAGTGAATAGGAGGCTGGCCCGAGGGTCCGTGGTTGGGACACAGCCACACACTCAGCTCTGGTGTTCAGATCCAGCATTGCACACCTGTTTTTGTAAGTCAGACGGACCGTTCTGCTGCCCTCACACTTCCCCGGCTGCTGCTCTTTGGATGCCTGCTCCCATTTAGAAATGATGTCACAGATCTAGAAAAGAAACAGAAAACGGAGATCCATGGGAATTTTAAAATCAACACTTTAAAAAGACTAGAGCACCTGTGGGTCCATACAAACCAACCACATTCGCTCCAGTGTTGTCAGCTTTAGCTTTGTAGAGCTCTGAGTTTAGGATTTCATTTTACATTGTTCCTTTGGTTCCCTTGTTGAGTCGGACACACACTAACTTTGGAATGTGGCCATGCATTTTTTACCCAGAAAGGAATCGTAAGGCAGGACTGCATGGGGCTGGAAACAAAGAGATTCCAGGGAGTTTTTTTCATGATTTGGTCTCTGAAGAAGCAATTTTTCCACCTAGTGAATTTATCAAGATTGGAATAACAAGGTACCCCAAAGAAGTCTGAGACAAGAGTGCTCGCCACTCAGTGCTAGCTGCTTGGTGCAGCAAAGTCCTTTCTCCCTGTTTCCTCACTTGTATAATATAAATGGGCGACGTCTCTGAGCTCCCTCAGCTGAGTAATTCCATGTTTCTAACTGTTGCCATCAGCCCATGAAAACCTTGTGGGTTCTGTTGTCTTTTCAGCATGAGATAGAAAAGATGTTTAAAGTATCTCTATTTATTTTCATTGGTTCTTCCCCCAACCCCCCACAACAGTTCGGATCTCCCCATAGGCCTAACGTTGAAGTTCCCTCTATGCAGAGGGTCACAGCCTCTTAAAACACTTGCCACCTTCAACTTGAGGCAAGATTATCAGAATATAAATCTGTTCTTTTCTAAGCAAACTGAAGATCCCCAGAGCAGAAGCCTTATTAGTGTTGTGTCCCCCACCCTCACCCCCACCTCCAGGATCCCACTTAGCCCTCAGGATAACAAAAACCTGCTGTGAACTAGTGATGAACGAAAGGGGATGGGCCTCCCAAATTTTCTTTTTGTTGCTGTTTTTTGTTTGTTTTGTATTTGTTTATTTGTGTATACATGCATGGAGGTCAAAGGGCATCTTGTGGGAGTCAATTCTCTCCTTCCACCATGTGGGTTCCGGGCATCCACCTCAGGGTTTGACAGGCTTGGCTGCAAACACCTTCACCCACTGGGCCATCTTGCCTGCCCACTATTCTTAGTTCCCTAATATTTAGATTATCATAACAATTGTAGCTTGTTTTCTTCTCTTAATGCAGAGTTTATGTGCACAGGTGGCATATTAAGAATTCTATGGCCCTGCCTGGTCCTTTGGGCTGAGGCAGACACAGAGTTGGTCTGCTCCTGTCCTGTGGAGATACTGAATCTTGAGTCATCCTAGAGGAGCCACTGCACTCAGAGCAGCCAGTAAGAACCCCATCTCACTCCCTAAGCCCCAGAGATACATCTGGGAGCCAGGGACATTCAGGACACAGCAGCTACCCAAACCCCGCCCCTCCGAAATTCCACTTCCCTTCCGCCCCTTCCTGGTCCTTTGGGCTGGGGCAGACACAGAGTTGGTCTGCTCCTGTGGAGATACTGACTCCTGAGTCATCCTAGAGGAACCACTGCACTCAGAGCAGCCAACACAGAGTTGGTCTGCTCCTGTGGAGATACTGAATCCTGAGCCATCCTAGAGGAGTCACTGCACTCAGAGCAGCCGAGGAGCCACTGCACTCAGAGCAGCAGACACCAAGGTGGTTTGCACTTGTGAGACATCATATCCTGAGCCATCCTAGAGGAACCACTGCACCCAGAGCAGAAGAATTTCCAGATCCAAGAGGTGGCCTGAGTCCCAGGAGTTCTTCCACCCAGGAGATTAGGATCATAAGACCACAGAGACATCTGGACATAAGCAACAGAAACCAAAGTTTCTTGGCATCATCAGTACCCAGTTCTCACAATATACCAAGCCCTGGACACCCCATCACACCTGAAAAGCAGGATTCAGAATTAAAATCACTTCTCATGATGATGATAGAAGATTATAAGAAGGAATTAAGTAACTCCCTTAAAGAAATACAGGAGAGTACAAGTAAACAGGTAGAAGCCCTTAAAGAGGAATCATAGAAATCCCTTAAAGAAATGCAAGAAAACACAAAGAAGGAATTAAACAAAAACATTCAGGATCTGAAAATGGAAATAGAAACAATAAAGAAAGCTCAAAGGGAGACAACCATGGAGATAGAAAACCTAAGAAAGAGATCAGGAGTCATAGATGCAAGCATCACCAACAGAATACAAGAGATAGAAGAGAGAATCTCAAATGCAGAAGATACAGTGGAAAATATTGACACAGTTGTCAAAGAAAATGCAAAATGCAAAAAACTCCTAACTCAAAACATCCAGGAAATCCAGGACACAATGAGAAGACCAAACCTAAGGATAATAGGTATAGATGAGAATGAAGACTCCCAACTTAAAGGGCCAGTAAATATCTTCAACAAAATTATTGAGGAAAACTTCCCTAACCTAAAGAACAAGATGCCCATAAACATACAAGAAGCCTACAGAACACCAAATAGACTAGACCAGAAAAGAAATACCTCCCGTCACATAATAATCAAAACATCAGATGCACAAAACAAAGAAAAAATACTAAAAGCAGTAAGGGAAAAAGGTCAAGTAACATATAAAGGCAGACCTATAAGAATTACACCAGACTTCTTACCAGAGACTATAAAAGCCAGAAGAGCCTGGACTGACATCATACAGACCCTAAGAGAACACAAATGCCAGCCCAGATTACTATATCCAGCAAAACTCTCAATCACTATAGATGGTGAAACCAAGATATTCCATGACAAAACCAAATTTGCACAGTATCTTCTCACAAACCCAGCACTTCAAAGGATAATTGATGGAAAACACCAACACAAGGAGGGAAACTACAACCTAGAAAAAGCAAGGAAGTAATCTTCCAACAACCCCAAAAGAAGATAACTATACAAACATAATTCTACATCTAATAACAAAAATAACAGGAAGCCACAATCATTTTTCCTTAATACCTCTTAACATCAATGGTCTCAATTCCCCAATAAAAAGACACAGACTATCAGACTGGATACACAAACAAGACCCAGAATTTTGCTGCATACAAGAAACGCACCTCAGTGACAAACACAGACACTACCTCAGAATAAAAGGGTGGAAAACAATTTTCCAAGCCAATGGTCCCAAGAAACAAGCTGGAGTAGCCATTCTAATATCAAATAAAATCGACTTTCATCCAAAATTAATCAAAAAAGATAAGGAAGGACACTTCATACTCATCAAAGGAAAAAGCTATGAAGGTGAACTCTCAATTCTGAACATCTATGCTCCAAATGCAAGGGCACCTACATACATAAAAGAAACTTTACTAAAGCTCAAAGCACACATTACACCTCATACAATAATAGTGGGGGATTTCAACACCCCACTCTCAGCAATGGACAGATCATGGAAACAGAAACTAAACCGAGACACTTTGACATTAACAGAAGTTATGAACCAAATGGACTTAACAGACATCTATAGAACATTTCATCCTAAAACAAAAGAATATACCTTTTTCTCAGCACCTCATGGTACCTTCTCCAAAATAGACCATATAATTGGTCACAGAACAGGCCTCTACAGATACAAAAAGATTTAAATAATCCCTTGCATCTTATCAGATCACCACGGACTAAGACTGGTCTTTAATAATGACAAAACCAATGGAAAACCCTCGTGCACATGGAAACTGAACAACTCTCTACTGAATGATGTCTTGGTCAAGGAAGAAATAAAGAAAGAAATTAAAGACTTTTTAGAATTCAATGAAAACGGGGACATATCATACCAAAACTTGTGGGACTCCATGAAGGCAGTGCTAAGAGGAAAACTCATAGCTCTAAGTGCCTACATAAAGAAACTGGAAAGAGCACACACTAACAACTTGACTGCGCAACTAAAAGCTCTAGAACAAAAAGAAGCAAATACACCCAGGAGGAATAGAAGGCAGAAAATAATGAAACTCAGGGCTGAAATCAACCAAATAGAAACAGAAAGAACAATACAAAATATCAATAAAATCAGGAGCTGGTTCTTTGAGAAAATCAACAAGATAGATAAACAGATAAACTGTTAGCCAAATTAACCAGAGGGCACAGAGACAGTATCCAAATTAATAAAATCAGAACTGAAAAGGGAGACATAACAACAGAAACTGAAGAAATTCAAAAAATCATCAGATCCTACTACAAAGGCCTATACTCAACAAAACTGGAAAACCTGGATGAAATGGACAATTTCCTAGACAGATACCAGGTACCAAAGTTAAACCAGGAGCAGATAAACCATCTAAATAGTCCCATAACCCCT